CTCAGCGTGCCATTCACCAGATCGTAGGATGCTCCGTCGAACCTGAAGTATGTCTTAAGACAGAACTTCAGAAATTGGAGGATTTGGGCGTATCCGAGGGGACTTTGCATTTTATCATAGTTGCCTTGCAGGAGTAGTTCGATGGTCTCGACTGCGGAGACCCCAAAGGTCCTTCACGTCAAATGACACCATGACCTCGTTTGGTAGGAGACGCACACATTAAGCTTCTCTGAGAAGTATATTGGCGTCGGTGATAAATGACAGCAATTAACGACCCGAGTACGGACGAGCAAGTCGGAGTTTTGTGCAAAATCAGTCCACATGAACTAGCTCCAATGTTTTCGCCAGTTCATCCGTGATCACGCAAATGGCAGCGATCCAACTTTCCTCAAGGCGAAATAATCCCGAAAGACCCGACTTTCTTGATGGAAACTGAGGACACAAGTGGACTGCAGTTTCTCTTCCCACCTCCAATGCAAGTTTCAAATTGTGGGTGGATAGTGGCAGTCCTCCGTCGTAAGCGACGTTCAACACCGCCGCTACCTCGTAGAATCTACCACGGTCCCTTCCAACACCCACTATGAGCCAAAAGGCAGGGCCCGCTCGAAAATGGGCATATACACATTGGTCAAACCCGCGTCTGCGCGTGCCACACACGAGCTGGGCCATCACTCTATTGGAATGAGACGCCAATAATATCGACTTGCTCGGTGATGCGATTCACGCTGAAGATCGAACTAGGAAGAAACTAAATGGAATTGTGCGCTAGATACGGGCAGGGACGAACTCGCCCTCCTCCCGCCCATACCAATGGCAAGTGCGACTCTAGGCGACCGGAGAAGAAACTGGGCACAGTGTTCGAACTGGCGCAGTCTCTGTTTTATGCATATTACAATAACATGTCCGTAGAGTGAACCGCAAAGCAAGGTTGTTGAAGTATAATACCCTCGGCAGGTGCTTTGAGCGAATGGTCATCCGCGCAACTTTGTCAACTGGCGTATGGGGCCGTGCGACATTCTGACAAACATTTTCAAGGCTTACTTTCGTTCTACAATACTATACTACAGTAGATGTGCTAACTCATGAAATGTCAACCAAAATTTCGAAATGCGTTCTCGTTTCGAAAAGATAAATTAAGTAGTGTTGTAAAGCTAATCATGATGCAGCATAAATCTATAATGATCCAGTTACCGCAGGGTGTCGGCTTTCGAAAGAACTTATTTTCGGCTGCTTGCAAGATCTATACTCTGCAAAAAATGACTACTTAATTAGTATGCAATTTTCTCATTGATGTTCGATGCCCTTGAAAATTCAATTATATTTCATGGAAAACATGCATAAAAGTGCTCATTCTTTTACTTATTCGGTAGAAAATCACGTCTTCTTTAAATTTCATACTCAAAAGAAGAGTATAATTCGGTTTTAAAAAACTTTTCTAATTCCCGAATAATTTTGAACCCGACCTGCTGTTACACTTGCATTCAGGGTTTCAAAACTACAAGCTGTATATTTTCCGTGTACGGAGAACCATGCATTTCTCTACGGTGTTAAGAGGAGACCAGATGAGGTTTATAAAATTAAGCAGTGGATTGGAGCAATATTGTTAACTTTACAAGTCACATTCGTAAATGCAGATACATGACGTTTCATGAACGGCCATTTAACGGTATTAAAAAATCTCACAATTAGAAAATTTTTTAACACCGAATTATACTCTTCTTTTGAGTAGGAAATTGGCAGAAGACGTGATTTTCTACCGAATAATTAAAAGAATGAATATTTTCATGCATGTTTTCCATGAAATATAATTGAATTTTCAAGGGCATCGAAAATCAATGAGAAAATTGCATACTAATTAAGTAGTCATTTTTTGCAGAGTATAGATCTTGCAAGCAGCCGAAAATAAGTTCTTTCGAAAGCCGACACCCTGCGGTAACTGGGTCATTATAGATTTATGCTGCATCAGGATTAGCTTTACAACACTACTTAATTTATCTTTTCGAAACGAGAACGCATTTCGAAATTTTGGTTGACATTTCATGAGTTAGCACATCTACTGTATATTATTTCTTACAAGCGCTCCATGCTTGATCTGGCGTTCAAAATTTTCATGCTCCCTAATACACGCTATGTTGTTGAGTGGATCCTCGAAAGACTCCAAACAGTTTATACGATGTCAAAATTACACCGGAAAGCCGATTGACCGAACTTCAACTACGCTGGCGATATCACTCTGTTGGCATCAAGCCATATCGGTCTACAGGTAGATCCCACTAACTCCAACACCCCAAAAAATCACGCACGGGGGCATCGTACGAGGCATCATTAAGATCGTTTAAGCCTGTGAAGTCGGAGTGTAAATTTAGTAAAACTTCGCTGTCATAGACATGGTTAATAGCCCCGAACCTTACCTGGTCACACTCTGGCGCCAGCGCCCTGTTGCTGACTTAAAGCTCAAGTAGTTTACCAGTTTGCTTGTCTAACGTTTAGGCCTTTTGTATGAGTCCATACCGCATCTGCTCCTCAGGGTTCGTAGAGAGAAAACGGCCTGTAGATGATCACGCAAGTCTCTTCTTTATTTGAAATGTTAATTTGGCAAACGCATGTTTTCGGTAATTCTTCGTCAGGCCAGTACAGTTACATATAGGAATGAAAATGTACAAAATCAACAGTGTTTACAGATGTCTCAAGGGATATTAAGGCATTGGCACCCATCTTCCCCACGCCGCCCGCATGACGAGGTCAGCTGGTTTTAATCATCAGGGCTCGAGGAGGGGGGTAAGAGAGTCTTTGAGTGATGTTCTTGGATTGAGTACACGGAGTACCCATCACTGTAATTGGGGATTTGAGGCGGCATGTCGTCACCAATTGAGGCTGGTTAATTTTGTACATTTCCATTCCTCCATGTAACTGTACTGGCCTGACGAAGAATTACCGAAAACACGTGTTTGCCAACTTGACTTTTCAAGTGTAATATGGAAATATGTGCGGAACTAAGACAGTCCAAAGATCTCCTTTATTTGCCAACATTCCTTCGGCCTTACTGTCTACTTGTTATCATGTTAGTGTTGATGGCTTCTTAAACTTGAATTTCCAAAGCAGATCTGGGCTATTAAGCTCTGTCACGCAACTATACTGGCGAAACAGCGTTCTCATGTGTCCCCGTTTATTACCGGTCAAAGGTGATGAGACGTGAGCCTGTAGCCGCGCTGATCGAGCGTTTCAGTTACGTGTTCAATGTGCAATTGCCTCAGGTTAGAATCTCAGGGGATTCCGACTCAGCACTGAAGTATGCTTGGATGGAAACAGTTAGTAGACCAGACATTTTTCAGTCAAGTCTTTTTTGAGTTACACCGTATTCTCTCTACGTTATAGAAGGGTCTTTTTCATATTCATTGGGCTCAGGAGAATAGCAAGCCTTATGAACTTGCACCTAGCCGAAGTCAACTAAGATTCCAAGTACTTTTGTATGCTTGTATGGGGCTTTGTGTACGCATTACGGTGTCTGCCGCTGTCAGCCCGAAATCCATGACCCAGATTTCGGACGGGCCGTGTGTTGGTTAGTAGATAAAGCACGTGGGATTGCAGCGTACAAGGTACGATGGTTCGATTGTCGGGGACGGCGGCGTCCTCCACGCGTCCTACGGACTGGGCAAGACAACAAGGGACATGCGCGTGAATTAGTTCAAAGTAAGGTAAGCTTCCACGGCATCCATTACGCCCTCCTTTCTCACCCACCTTACTGCGGTGGCAAGATGATCTCAAGACAAGGGGAGTGGACATTAACGCAGTAGCTGAAAAGGCCTAACACCCCCATCTACACCTGCTACACACATGACCTGGTCACGGTTACGTGCGCCGGGCTTCCGTAAGGGCGACACGGATCTGGCATGCGGAATCGTGCTTTAAAGGACACATAAGGACGGAGCCATTTTAGTCCGACTCAGTTCTGGGAAGGACGGACTTATTCCGTCCACCGGTAACCTACTCCACGACGTCTTCCACGCGTCATGGAAGACTTAGACGCTTTGGATTTATTATTAGTGATGAGTGCGCTTATTCGCCGGCCTCACTCTCACTTCCACCTTTCACGCAGCCGTTGACTGTCCGAGTCTGTCAAACAACTCGTCATTGGATTTGGCGCAGTAGTTGACACAGCATGAAGGCTGCATCTAAGGCGTGCCACGTGTAAACGACAGTAGTTACGGCTAAGTGCGGACTCAGCGCAGCCCGAAAAATGCATCTTGTGAGCCAGACTTGTCCCGTTTCGGTCCAGCGCATCTGCAGCGCAGCGCGTTGTCTAGGTCAAGATTAATTAAAAGAAGGCAAGTTAGACGGCATATGCCTCTACTGCCTAACTGGAAAACTTAAAACGCACAACGCATACACACAGCAATCCTTGAGTCCGTAGTTACCGGAAATGAGGCGACCAGCAGTCGGTGGGCGCGTACAAGTGCTTAGGTGTTTGGGCAGCGTCGAGTTTTCGCCATCAAAGGCCTCCGCGGAAGGCGCCGGCAATAGTAGGGATGTGAATCGCTACAACGGTATCTATCGTATTACCAAATGTCCGACAGGTCTAGATAGTCGAAAAGTCTGACAGGCCGTATACACATGCTGATGGACTTGGCTGCCTCATGCCGTCGGCCCTCTCTGCATATCCACTGTTTTTGCGCAGCTTGTCAACGAATAGGACTCGATTTCATCCTTTTTAAGTGCAGCCAATCAATCTGTTCTATATTCTTATGCACGAGTATGAGGAAATCGTAGTTGCATGCGGATCTATTCGAACGCCGCTCCCTGATGGTGCTCTTGTTCCACCGTCTTAGCATATACTAAGGGAGTTTTTAGAAATTTGAAAAGAGCGGGTTTCCCGCTTGCGTGCACTTCTCGAAAGTCAAGCAGCCCTCTCGTTTCGGCAAAATCTCAGATTTGTACTGTTTTCTTTTAACATTCTAGAGCAATCCCTCGTCCACATTTCCACAGGCTACCAGGTAAACACAATGCGAGCTCACAGTCCGGGCGGCAATCCCGCAGCGGCCATTGGCTCCGGGCCTGGTCGAGAGTACAGTCTGTTCGACAAGCTGAACACCATGTCAAGAGTGCGTCGACGGAAACAGGAGGCGGAAGAATTGGCTGCGGAGGCACGACAAGCCATGGAGGACCCACTGCACCCTATCCAGCCAGAGATCGGACCGGTGGGCTACCAACTCGCAGAGGGTGAAGAATGCTCAATGATCGAGCCATTTTCGAAGGTGAGTTCGTTTCCTTCTAATCTGCAAGTAGGGGAAGCGTTTATTTCTCCTCGTTTGCACCTGAAGAAGTTTCATCCACCAAAGTCGGTAATTCTGACTAATACATCGGATAAAAGTGATTATTGGCTGTTCGTCCGTCGTTGCCGACTATGTCGACCGTGTACTTCACAGCCAGATGAGGGTTTGCACAGCGACTTGCACGCGAATTAGTTCACTGTGTGGATGGACTTGCGCAGCGTCTACCGCACTCTCTCCTTCCCCATTTGGGCTCGGCCTCAAGACATAGTCAAGAAGATCGGAGGCGAGAGAGGGCGCAGGTGGCTGGCACGGCCGGGCCCGTACCTAGGCGTACCCTACATCCCCCGCTCCACAACAAACACTTGACCAGGATTTGAACCAACAACAAAAATGGATCAGAAAGAGCAGGATGACACAATTCACTGGACAACCGTGCACACGACCCCTATACCCATCGTGAGCGCCAGTGCATCCACCGACTGGAAGCCAGGTGTCAGAGACTGCCAGCGCACACCGAGCAGCGAGGGCAATGGTTTGCTGAATCATGGCGTATCAGGCTCGCACAGTTCTTAAGGCCCTGAAGGGTGAGACGCAGCCCTACAATACATAAACGAAAAAGAACATCGAGTTTGCGCAACAAGATCCTGAACCACATGGCCGGATATTACGCAATCGACATTTGTGCCAGAAACGTTAATCCTCGAAGAATATTTGATGAAAACATGTGTAAAAAATGATTTTTCATCCATTGCTTTATTTATGCAGTTTTTCTTAGTATTTTGGATGGACAAGCATTAATGACTTCCACAATTTTAGTCTATTCATGCGACATGCATTTTTGTGTTTTTTTTGGAATTTACACGTTTTTGAGAAGTTGTTATTTCTCCCCAATGAACTAGTACCTATAATACTCATTTTGCTTTCTCATTTAACTGGAGGCCGTTCACTATTAGTTTTGTATTCTGGTGGACGCCTTCGGACTAGTTTCTGATTGGTTAGTGACTTTGCCTCAGAACTGGCACATTTCATGTGTTAGGTCACTAACTTTGTCTGAAATGAAGGGATGGTCACTAAGACAAGGGAAAGTGCGATGACTGCTTCCGGATTATTATTCATCGTCAGTCACACCGGACCCTAGTTTTCGTTGATCTGGTATTCGAGCCCCGGTTGTTAGGTCGGTGTGCTTTAGGCCGCCCAATGCTGTACTATTAAGTCAATAGTGGTAAAACTTCATGAAGCAAGCCTAGGCTTGCGAAGTCTCTAATCCGTCGTAACCCAGTCTTCATGCATTCGCCAAAATACCTAACCCATGATGAAAGATCTACAGTTAGATAAAAGCCTAAAGTAAGTACTTGAAGTATTATTTCATTGATTAGAAATAACGATTTTCCAGAGCAAAGCGCGATACTTCATGCCAAATATGCAAACTCATGTTTAAAGTGTACATAAACCCTATTCATTCAGATAACTGAGAAGGCAAAACGCCATACGCCCTTTATCGTTAAAGTTAGTGTTTTCTACATGTACTTTTGGTAACTACCCTCCAAGAATTAATGCTCTGTGAAGTCTGGTACATAGTTAACGGCGTGATGTTCGACCATTTGCTTCAAAATCTTGTTGCGAGAAATCGATGTCAGTTTTTCGTTCTTGTGTTTATCGAGATGCGATGGCTTAAAGCAGAGAGGTTTTCGCTTGATTTCGCTGATAGGTACGTTACAAGATTAAGAGATTTAATAAGGTCTCATGTTGACAGGTCGGTTAGTGACTTGTAAAGCGCTATCAGGTTAGCAAATATGATTCCTCTCCATTCTTATCATGATTCGCTGATACAATTACCTGGTGATGCGATGCGGTTTGGTCGTGGATCTACCTTAAAGCTTCCTACTTACCAAATCATGCCACTCATACAATCTCTATGGTCTTGGAGAACCACATGGGCTGCCATCATTTAGTTCCATCTGAAATTCAAAACGGTTACCAGGGGACGCTCGTAATGGAGCCAAACCTACAGTAGAAGGCTAACTCATGAAATGTCAACCGAAATCCCGAAACGAGCTTTCGTTTCGAAAAGATTAACTAAGTGGGGTTGTAAAACTGATCATCAAGCGGCATGATTATGTAATAATTCAGTTACCACAGGCTGCCGGCTTTCGAACGAACTCCTTTTCGGAGGCATGCAGCAACTTACTCTGTTAAAATGACTACTTATGTAGCATACATTTTTCTCATTGATTTTCGATGCCCTTAAATATTCAAATATGTTTCATGTATAAATGCATAAAATCATCCATTCCTTTGCTGATTCGATAGAAAATGACGTCTTCTTCCAATTTTATTTTCCAAGGAAGGGTATAATTCGGTTTTAAAAAGTTTCTAATTGTGAGGTTTTCTAATACCCTGAAATGGCCGTTCATAAAACCTCATATCTCTGCATTCACCAATGTGGCTCGTAAAGTTAACAACGTGGCTCAAATCCACTGCTGAATTTTATGAACCCTACATAATGTCCACTTAATACCCTCGAGAAATGTATGGTTTTCAGTACGCGAAAAATATACGACTTGTAGTTTGGAAACCCTGAATCCAAGTTTAACGGTAGATCTGGTTCAAAATTATTCGGAATTGGAAGAGTTTTTGAAAGCCCAATTATACTATTCCTTCAAGTATAAAATTGGAAGAAGACTTAATTTTCTACCAAATGAGCAAAAAATGCATATTTTATGCATGTTTTCCATGAGATATAACTGAATATTTGCGGGCATCGAAAATCAAAGAGTAAAAATGCATTTTACGTAAGTAGTAATTTTTTAGAGAGTATAGTATCTGCACGCAGCCGAAAAGGAATTCGTTCGAAAGCCGGCATCCTGGGGTAACTGAACTATTATAGAATCGTACAATTTGCTGATAAGTTTTGCAACTCTACTTCATTAAACTTTTCGAAACGAAAGCACATTTTGGAATATTGGTTGACATTTCATGAGTTAGCCCACCTACAGTAGTAGAGCTGGACACCGGGCGGGGTGTAGGTGGAAGAACATTTGATCCCAGCGATGACGTACTAGACACCAGAAAGACAGTTGACCTGCTCCAGGTGCCTCAGAATAAAGGCAGCAACAATTGACACCGGGAGGGATTTTGTCCCACTGATTATTTGTAAAAGCAGAGGTTTTGCCGACAGGAGCAGCTGATTTTTGGCAGTGTATGGAGCAAAGAAACCAGGAAACACCAGACTCTGACAGGCCACGAACAACGGACTTCAAACTGCGTATACTCATCATTCTGGCCAGACTTCCAAACTTAGGTACTGCCAAAAAGCCCAAACGCACGCTTCAGTGATATTCTACCTTTGCATCACGTGACTGTGGGAAGTGGGTCCGTTAGTGGATCCCCAACTATTCATATATCATTTTTTGGTTCGTGTTATGCTTTCGAATAGGGGTTTTACTGACGAATGGAAGAGAATATGCGCATCCCAGGTTCTTGTTTAAAAGAAGACGAAGGCACCATCAAAAGGACGGTAGATTTATTGGCCCGAGCTTTCGAACTCGAACTGGAGTTCATCATCAGAGACTGCTAGAGTGCAGCAACGTGTGAACATTTATAACGTTGTTCCGTGCGGGGGGACTACGTCCGTGGCTAGGTCTGGTTCGTGCCGCCTGTTCCACGATGGTCTCCCGGCGTGGTGACGCCGTTTGTATTTCTCGACGATGTGAGCTGCGCCACCTGGCTGCGTGGGCGGAGAGCGTGATAACACGCAGGCAAATCGATTTGCCTATTGGTAGAGTTGGTGTCCGACACCCACACCTCCAACAGTTCTCGCCCCGTCTTGTTGCCGGCTCGCGCCAATATCCGCGTTTTGGCGAAGTCGAACTCATGCCTTCCTCCAGCGTGTGAGCGGCGACTTGAGATAGTGGGTCGCTTCACATCGTCGCGAAGTACAAACTACGTCACCACGCCGGGGAACCATCGTGGAACAGGCGGCACAAACCAGACCTAGCCACGGACGTAATCCCTCCCCGCACGCAACAACGATATAAATGTTCACACGTTGCTGGACTCTAGCAGTCTCTGATGATGAATTCCAGTTCGAGTTCGAAAGGAGGTTTTACTATTTCGTCGTGGACGAGTGTGCGAACATGGGTTAAACCACCGGGGACACGCTTGTTAGGTTCGACCTGACATGTGTTAGAAAATGTGAGTTGAATGCTATCGGTTTCTCTGTAATGACCACCTAAAGTACATACCTGGGCTAATTTGGCCGATTGATGGGCCAACCACCTCGCATTTGCACTAGGCATCAATAGAAACCCGACAGAACACCTGTTTGAACTTTTAGTTAGTTCAGGGTCTTAATCCAGCCACTCGCTGAGAGCGGTTAGAGTGAGGCCGATAGGTGAGAATCCATCCCCAGGGCACGTCAGCACATTCCTCACTGAAAATGAGCCTGACGCGCTTAAATCTCTCACGGCGTCCTAGGAGGCATAGTCTAGAGGTTTGCTAACTGATGGGATAACTCGGTTCTTTTAAGGATGGCGAGCCAGGCTGCAGCGGCCCCTTCTCGACTCTGGTCTTTATGGCAGTCACTCATGCGAGATCCGCGCCACCCCTACAGCAACCTGACACGCACCAGGAACCCGCTCGTTTGTGGCACAGGCTGTTCAGAAGACGAAGACGTGATCACTGGAGCAAGAAATTTATTGGCCTGACGTTTCGGATTCTCACTCGAGTTCATCATCAGAGACAGCTGCCCCCTCATCTGCGACTGTCTCTGATGATGGGTTCGAGTGAGAGTCCGAAACGTCAGGTCAATGAATATCTTTCTCCAGTGGTCACGTCTTCGTCGTCTGAACTGCTTCCGGGAACTCGCCTGTTTGCTTCTATCGGGTTGTTCAGCCTTTTCAGCCACCGCTCTCGATATACCCTCGTCGACTTGGCATTGTCGATAGATGCTGCCTAGGTCTGCTTCGTCTTAAACTAACTCATCCGCGAGTCGCTGGTGCTGGACCCACTCCGTGGGAAATGCGTTGAACGTTGTCGTTCGCGGCAGTCTGACTATCGCGTCATAACTTCGCTTGGGAGAACATTCGGATTGTTACTGCTCGCCCATAAAAGAAAGGCCATGCATTTCTGAACGCAATTTAATCCGATTACGCATGCATAAATAAGCATGTTGACGTGGATACTACTCGCAAAATTCTGGAGGGCAAATGTAAACTAGCGCGACCAATCCCGACGGACTGACAAGGTACAGTATACGCGCATTGGTGTAGGAGTCGGGTAACTACCGAATCGTTTGGTAGACGGTTGAATGGTCCATTGTTTTTGCACATGTAAATTTCAGGAGATTGGCCAGCTTCTGTAATTTGCAAAATGAGCTCTGTGTAACGTTTGAGAGAGCTGTTCTTCTGAGTGAACAGTCGTTTCGAGACAATTGAGTGAAAAGTCAGAACGTCCAGACAGCCACTTAGCCAGTCCAAGCCTTGTGTTCCTTCCAGTGAGGCTGTGACTGACTGACAAAGATGAAGTGCCGTCACCTCAGCACCCTATAACCTTCTGAAGGGACATTTACGATAAATGCTGATTGATCCCTCAAAGCACTCCAACGTTCAGCCCAGTCGAGTGGTTATGCTGGCATATTAAAATTTTAGCCGAGCGCTTCCCAAATGGAGGAAGCAAAAATGAATAAATACAATTTTTATAAGGTCAATACAGTTACATAGAAATTTAAAATATGAGAAGTTCACAGAGCTTACAAGTGACTCAGGAGCTGAATGCTAATAGCCCCTGAGTCACTTATAAGCTCTGTGAACCTCTCATATTTTTAATTTCTATGTAAATGTGTTGGCCCAATGATGAGTTGCCGAAAACACGAGTTTGCCAAATTGACTTTTCATGTGTACCATGTGGATATTCGCAGAGCAATTTTAATAGGTGCTTTGCATAACTCCCAGTTGTGAAAAACTTGGTGACCTCAGTGGGTTTGTGCTCACGACAGCTAGTGCGAGGCTCGTCTACAGCCAAAACCCCCATCACATGGGCTACTACTGAAACCTCAAATAAACTCTTTCCCCGTCGAAGTTTGCCGAAGACCTACCTAGACGTCCAGCTGAAAAGGCAGGACTAAAACCACAGTTTAGCGGTCCAGAACTCGGGTGGATCCTAAGAATTACGGACTGCGGTCCAGGTTCCCTATAGGAGCAGAAGATAAACGTCAGTAGAGCGATGATTGTATTCATCAGAGAATGTCTAAAGCATATTTTGTTGGAGCGACTTGGTAGCCGAATTCAAGGTGACACCAGTTTCTGCAATCAAACTAGGACTGGTGGAAGCTACTCCCATTCGTGTTACTGGGGCGGAAATACATTTGTTCTGTGCCCCATATCAAAACTGTAGTATTTCGATTTCCTCTTTTATGGGTTTCATACAACTCTTTTGATGTCAGCCTAAATTTTTTCTTTCAATCGCACTGTACTTTTGTTTATGACTGAAATCTCTCCTGTTACTGACTGCGCTATGGTTCTTTTGTTTTAATTCACACGATAACGGACTACGAGTCCGCTCCACCGAGGGTTTTTGTGGAACGTTATTGTAGGCGAAAGTCTTACTTTAAATACGTTAAGCCGTCAGCGGTAATAGTTGCCAGATAAATGACGCGGTCCCATTAGAACATCTCCTCACCCCGACTTACCAGTCGCAGCTGCGCGAGATTTTCGACGTCCGCAGAAGTCCAACATGCATTTACAGGTTTTTCGATGAAGATTGGGTATGTGGCCGCTGCCCAGTTTTCACTTGTATGAAATATCCACTTATTTTATTTGAGCAGGTTTGGTTTAACCTCTCTTTTGCTTATCCTCCGACATGCCTCCCCCAAGTGTTACCAGTAGGGTTGGCGTCCGGTTTAGGGTCAGGGGGCTATGTATTAAGGTTAGGGTCATAGGTTAGCCTAGGACGACGGTTAGGGTTGGACTTTAGATATAGATTTAGGGCTAGGATTTAGGCTATCAGCGTTGTCAAATTCAATTTTGTCTCTAGCCGGGGCCATCACGAGAGTCAGATCTAACGATATATTCTCCACACTCTCTCCCTTTATGTAAATGTTCACCACTGGTACCCAGGACCATCTGACCAGTTTCCTCGACCTTTATTCTCTCCGTCCGCTTACATCTCCTAATTTTCAGTATCTCAAACTTCATGTTAGGCTTTTAAGATTTTTTGGTGTATTTCAAGAAGTTAATGGTTTAAATACAAGTTTTTTATATTTTTATTTCCTGAAACATCCATCTATCAATTTCGTTTATCCCGACCAAAAACCCCTACTACCAACATTCTCGTATCACAGGAGTCTTAGCCTTTTATTTTCTCATTGCAGCCACACATACGATTGTCACCGTTTTTTTACTGGGGCTCTGGTTTTTGTACCAACATGTTTGGTTTCATTTTAGGAGCAACCACTGGTTCGAGAACTGACCGATACACTGGTCGATTGGATTAATAGGGAACTGATTGACGATCGAATTCTCGTCAGAGACATCGAGGGAGACTTTTACGATGGCCAGGTGCTTCAAAAGCTGCTGGAGAAGTTTACTAAGCGGTCCATTAACTATCCTGAACTCACTCAAACTGAAATGGGACAGCGCCAACGTCTTAAGGTAAGTTCCCTAACAATATTCCCATTATGATCGCGAAGGATTATTACTAGAACGATCACAGAAGTAAATCGCACTGCTACACATATACATACACGTTATTGTATATCATACGTGTTTTTCTTCTTTCTTAGGTAGTACTGGAGGAGATTAATAACGCGCTCGGTGTCTCGGAGGCCTATGCCGCTCAACAGTGGCCGATCGCCGCCATCTTTTCCAAGGATTTGGTGGCCACCCTGCGTCTGCTGGTTGCACTCGCTCGTCGTTTTGCTCCACTTGTTCGATTGCCGGCGGGTGTTCACCTGACTGTGCTCATCGTTAGGAAGCTGAACGGTGTTCTTCAACACCGAAGACAGGCTGAGCTGATCACGGAGGCCGTAGACATCCAAGGTGAGCAGTCCTGGCTACCTCGTCGACTGACCTGCCCCGGTGCTTTGAAGTGTGTGCAGAACAGCTGACCGTATTCTCATCGGGGTTTCACGTTGGTTATTGTACTTGTAGATGGTGAGCTTACTCGAGCCAACGCGACTGGTTGCGTGGACGTAATATCTGCGTCAGTCTTGGAGTTGATTGGTCGACTTGGAGTGCTGTGAATGGTCGGAGCTCATTCGGAAGCTCTCAGTCTCAAAGATTGGCGAGCGCTGTGAGAGCATTATATGGAGCCTAGTAATGTAAGACTAAGCTGCCGCTGATGCGGATGTGCAAGAATGTATTAGACATAGGAATGATACAACACCAGATGCCAATAGTAGAATCGATACATATTCTCTAATCAAAAAGACGGAAGTCAAAGTTGAAGGCTCAAGTCTCCTGGGGCGAGAGTAGGGAGGCGACATTAAACGAACGCTAACAAGGCTCTCTCCGACTGACGTATGCCAAGAGGGCGTGAATTTCCCAACGCCGACCAACTGACAGTTCGACCAGCGTTTCTGATTACGTCTACCGTGTACCCAAAGCTTGATATCCGCGGGAACGGTGATTTGGGCGTGAATGAGTTTATAGTTATCGTAGATTTGCGTGCATCTACCGCACTTTTTTCTCCCTCACCCACCTGAGGCTGATGTCAGGTCAGAGTCAAGAAGACCGGTATGACATTTGCTGTCGGCGCGCAGTCCAATAACGCGTGCCGGACCATCATCTGACCCCTTGTTGGTCCGACGTATCTACCGCGTGGCCCGTCGTAGAGGGCACATCGGGATGTAGGGCTGTCTACTTAGGCGTCCACCGCGTAGGTGTGGGAAGTCGCAGCACGCAAGTGGTGACTGCTCCGCACGGCTATAAATTGGCATCCAAGTTTCATCTCAGGCTCCCGAAGCTAGGCACTGCCTAGCCGCTGCACGCCAGTAACCGTCTCGACCGGCAGGACAGATCAGACAAGGGCATCCGGTATTGCACGTATCCCACACCGGCAATTCTGTCCCTCTTTCTATCTATCCCTCCTCCCTTCCCTCCTTCTCCCGCCTCTCCCCACTTACATTTCAAAATGTCCTCCGGGGAGAGTGATAGTCAGCTCCACAGGCAGTCCAGGGCAAGTTGGGCTGCTCTCTCAATAAAACAAACCCTCACTGATAGTGAAATTCAGCAGCCGTCTGGGATGTTTGAGCAGCTCTATTTGAGGATTGCAGTGCTTTCCCCTCGCAGATGGACAACTCACGGTCGAAAAAATCCAACAAGCTACAACCCATGTCTCCATCTTCCCGCCCCACTCCATAGGACGCTAGCGTGAGTCAGCTCACTCTGGCCTACATTGCCACCATACATGCACATCACGCATTGGCCCGACCGGTCACTTGCAAATTCAGCGCACAGGGGCGGGCGAACCAGTGTCTTGAGTACCAACATACACCTGTCGCCATCGTCTCCACTGCCCGCATTGCCCATTCATATTTATCCATTGCAGGGGCGTACTCGGTCACATGCGTCTCCACATAAACCTGCCGTAATCCACCATAGACTAGACCATATCACCACACATTCCCCCTCAATACATGCGTCATGCATGTACACCGCCAATATGCAACATCAACGACACCTCTCACGTAATTGGGAAATGTGTTATTCGGCTCCTCTATGTGGCCCCTCTGCTACATGGGAAATTGGAACAGTCCAATACCTTGGTGGGGAATTTTTGTATGCTGCAAAGAGAGCTAGCTCGTGTGTGCGGCACGCTCAGGCAGGCTGTTGTAAATTATATTGGCACTTCTCCCTATCTCAGCATCAGTCCGATCGGCCAGATCAGACGGTGCGCGAAAGGGGAAGAGAGTAGCGTCTACTCTCACTCCATTTTCCTCACTATAAGGAATCAAGCGCGATTGAGACTATCACGTTACGATAAAAGCCACCGCTTGGAAAGCTGCTAACCGGCGATTCAATTCAGACCTGCAGTCAACCTAGCGTGTATTTGTATGGAGTGGCCGACTGGTGAACTGAGAGTCCGGCTTCAATGTCTTCTACGGTACTTCCACCCAGTTGGAATCCGAGCCGTTCTCCCTTTCATGTTGTGTGAAATCCTGGTCCTTTATGCGCGGACTTAAAGGTATGTAAGCGTCTGCTATGCCAGGATCAGAAAACCCACAGCCTTTGCAGCCTGATATGCGTCGGCACTTCTCTGACATCTGGTGCCATGCCGGTAGATGCGCTTGCGCTCCCGCTGGGTATGCAGGTCGTGAGCGTGGCTGCCCAGTCATCCTCATGTTTCTAACGCATTCTGATGCACTTGTTGTATGGTAAAATCCGGGTCATTTGACGAGTGGATCAGGGGGTGTGGAGTGGGGCGCCAAGGTGCGGACCCGGCCGCGCCATCTACCTGCGCCCTCTCCCGTCTCCGGTCTAGTTGACTTTGTCTTGACACCGGGCCCAGATGGGATGGAGAGAGTTCGGTACACGCTGGGCAAGTCTACATTCACTATAAGCTAATTCACGCTCAAGTCACCGTCCCTGCTTCCGCCCTGCGTCCGCCCTGCTATGGGACCTTTTATGGTGGACCTCGTCGGAATCGACGGTAGAATTGTCGACCGGCCAATCAGTGAGGTGCAACTGTTAATGCATGTCACCTGAGGTTCTGGCGTGATCCGGTAGTGGCGGTGCCTGCGCAGGTACGTCCGCCGCCTCACGGTGATCGGCTACTGAGTGTCCGTTTTATTTCACATGCCCAGGAAGGTGAAATTATATATATTTCGAAACGAAAACTGGACTTGACAAATCTGCGGAAGATTCTCAAACAAGGGAAAGATTTGGTGACAGGTGCTTACCTCTCGACGTTTTGAATTAATCGGCCCGATCTGGACCGATTTTTCTGACCTTCGCTGTACACGGAAGTCGCAAGAAAACGTACACAATGCCACACAATGCTTGAAATTTAGCAAAGATTTCCAACTAAAACTATGGGCATTAACATACAGTTTTCCGATGGAATTGATGAATGTTCAGTTGGAACAGCAATACATGTGTGCACCATCATGTGGTCCCCGACTGGATCTTCCCGTAAAGTTGGTGGGTCTGGAAGGCCTCGACGTGGGTCTTCTTTTTGATTAGAAATTATACGAAGGTCAAGGCAAAAGTCTGAAATATAAAAGAATCCAAAGTTTTGATTTCCTTGAAAGAATAAAGCAGGAGAATATCGCAGCGACAAGTGTGGGCTTACTGTTAACCGCATACTCTCAAGAATAAACGCAGCGACTGGTGAGGACTTACTCTGGTATAGGGGCGCCCACCGATCGTTTCTACTGGACTCACTCGTCCCGTTGTGCCTTACGGGCTCTCTCTCGAGCCCAATCAGCAGCTGCTCAGCGGCGCATGATATAGGCAGAATGGTATTACCGACAAGGACAAGCGTTAGAGGCATTGAACTTCGAACTAACAGGTCGCGCGTTCGAGCCTCGGATGTTCCACACTTCGGGGTTGGGTATGACTGGCTGACGACGGCTAATAAGCCAGAAATTGACATTCCGGTCTTACTTGTCTTCCTCGGTAATACCACTCTGAGGACTTACTGTTAGCCGCATACCCTGAAGTAATTTCATCCGTCTAGAGACTTATTGGTGTTAGTTCGTTAAGTCGAATGCAGACCGTCTCAATTGACTCGAAGTCGATGAACTTCACTAGGGCCATCACCCTCAGGAAACGTTAGTCAAACCTCCCGGTATTCGCTCGTCTTCTCTGCGCAAAGTAAGGCATTCCGAGGCGTAGTCGAGAATCGGGCGGACAGATTCTTGATGAAAATGAATCTTTTTTTCAGTCTGGATATCACGAGACCCTCTCGGGGGTTTGCCAGTCTCCGAGGACATAATCAATTCGGGTTCCGTTGTCATGTTTACTCTGTCTGTTTGACAAAGACTTGAGTCCGAGATATCTGAAACAGTCCTGTTCGCCAATCTGCCAGCCTTTCATCATGGAGACTGTTTTGTAATCAGGGATTCAGCTCAAGGATAAATAAATTTCCACAGCGGTGTTGCCTGATCAGGCCGATTTGGTGGTCCCGTTCACTTGGAGCAGTGTCTGTAAGTCATCTCGCTTTGAAACTGGAAGGAAAAGGCCTGATCATGCCAATTCGTCTTTATCGTTCTACTTCTGCTAATGCCCGCATCGAGCACGCTAGGAGGCACCTCAAACAAGCTAGCATTTCCTATGCCTCCCACCTTTCTCATATTCGCCTTTTCTGAGGACATTCGCATATTTCTCATACCAACAATAAATGCATGAGTCGTTTCTAAACTTTGAAAAATCGCCCAGGTTCAAAACTTTCCCTTGCTCTTCAGATGGGACCGCCGAACGCGACGCAATAAGTGCGCTGGTTGATTGTGCCGTGCCTGAGAAACTGGAGGCTTTCCAGCAAGTCCTCCTGCAGTTCGCGAATCAGCATCTAAGTAAACTCAACCTCGTCGTTACGGACTTGCAGAGCCAGGTCAGTTACAGTTCACGCATGTACTTTGCCAGTATTTTTTGCAAAGTCCCAATGACTGCCGCCACAGGTCACGCGATGCGGTCTCGACAATGGTGACCTAGATTTCCCACTACCTACCCCCCTCCTCAATTTTATGGGTCTTTTTAAAAGGTTATAGTTTGCTAAATCACGGTGTTAAAAAGTTTTCGTATTAGGGCTTTTGCCAGTAAGTTCAGATTGGGCGTAATTTACGTATACAGTGAGCCCTCTTCGATTAAGTAGACTGCATCCCAGAATTCCTCACGAGAAGCGAAAATCCACGAAGTTGAAAACACTCGTATTATGGTCATTTTTATAGGTTTTAAGCCCTTATAAAACTTCCCAACTTCTTATAAACATATCACATAGTTCTTCAGAATAAACCTTTATATTATCTTAGAAATTTGGCGAGATTCGTCGAAATTTAACCGCGTCTTCTGCGTGAGTATCTTCTTAGCAGTCCATCAATAGCCGTCCTGGATATGAAACCAACTGGACAAACCGACTGGGTAAGCGTGTACCGGGATTGAAAAGGTCAATTGTCCACAGGAATTCACGAACCAGCGGAAATTTACGATGTATATTTAACTATGCCTGCATATAAAATCCGCGATAGATTAAAACCGCGAAAATCAAGGCGCAGTATAGCGAAGATTTACTGTAAAAGTACTTTATGACGAACCATTAAAAGGGGAAAACTTCACGGGATGAGAGCAAACAACCGGCTCCCCAAAATGCACATTGAGTGCCATATCTTTGGAGCTATCGCAGTTACACCGATTGGCTGTGCGAACTCATCGGGCTTCCTTTTGGTCTGACTCACGGCAAACCCACTCATTCTATGTCGATTTCCATATTTTCTATCATATTTTAGTCTAATGCTTCCCTTTATTCACCAATACAACTACCTGTGCTGCAAATGCGCTGAATTTAAACTGGGGGAGGGGGCTCAGAGTGGCTGAGAGGGGACGCACTAATCAGACTGGGCATAGTCCGCTTGGAACCCTGACTACTGCCGTGCGTGTGGTAGGGTTTGCGGTGGTGCGTCTAGACAGAGCCCTTCACGCCGCGTCATCCACTGCGCTGCATCCGGTTTCTTTACAGGGAGAGGGAAAAGAAGGTTGGGAAAAACACTGGGAAATGTGTTCTCACAAAAAATCAGTACATCCCTCACTAATACGAGGCGCTCAAATCATTCACAGTGTGGCTTGGAAGATTGTCAACTGACGGGATGACTCAGTCCTTCTCAGCATTTACATTCAGGCTGCAATGGCTCCTTCCCAGCGTGGCCGCTATGGCAGTCCCACGCGTGTGGGATTCAAGCCGTCCTCATGAAAACCTGACGCACTCAGTAGAAAACAGATTGTGTTTGACAAACACAGGCGAGTGGTTTAACTTTTCCACCCACTGCGCTCGAGCCCACCTCCAGTCTTGCCATCGAAGCCAAATGGGTGAGGGGGGAGGGAGTGTGGTAGGTGCTGTACAAGTCTGCCTTGCCATGAACTACTTCACGCTCAAGCCACCCATTGCTTCGTTGACTCCGTGGGGCACATGCTGGACATCGTCGTTGGCGGCGGTCAGCCCCTCTCACCCCCTTCGCTATAATTTTCGCTTCGCCCATAGATGCTGTAAATGCTTAGTGATTGTCGTTTGGCGGATTTCTTAGTGGCTCTTTGAAGTTGTAGTCTCGAATTCCTTACAATGGTCTCATATCTTTTTTAGTTAATAGACGCAGATAGTTTGCACAAGACTATTTGTCGTCCCAGCCACCTCGTTGCAGGCAAGTGATCACCGGTTTGCGACACTTGCTAAAAGAGGCCGAGGCTAGTTCCACGCGAGACGCTGAGCAAATCAATGCAGATCCGTGCAGAGTAATGACAAAATCGTAGATGGTGCGCTGCGTGTTTTGTCCACATTTAAAAGACGAAAACGTTTCAAACTCTTCTTCTTGGGGAACAGAAGTTCGTGAAGGAGAGGCAAAAGGTACCGTCACGCAAATGGGTAAAACAAAGAGATATGTGGACGATCCGATGTTGTTAGAGAACCGCTTACCATAATCCTGAGCCAATCTACCTTCGCTTAACTCTCAGGAAGTTGCTGTCTGCTATTTCCTCTTGATATGAGGTCTTTAGCCTAGATTTATGGTAATCATTGTACAGAAACCTTCGACACATTAATGACAAAACTATATTTCATCAGAAAACCATGTAGATGGGCATTTTTCCAGTTTCACCAAAAGCATATCCGAACACAGAGGTCTCCGGGTCCTCCAAACCACCGTGGCATCAGCAATAACTGTAGCGACACCTTACGTTTTCAGGTCACCTTTGTTAGACATATTTCGCATCTACGCCGTCGAGACACTGAAGACAACTATCGGCAGCTCAGACACACTGTCAACCTCTCCACACAGTGACCAAGCATCCAGTCAGCCATGGGTCTAGTGGACAGTGTGGAACCTGCGGCGGCAACCTAGGTCATGGCTAGACTTTTGACACCACCATCTTCAGGTCCAGTCCCAAACAGAAGCAAAAATCTGAACGCCAGTTGACAGAACACTGCATTCTGCACTGAACGTCTGGATAATGGATTTGAGGAATTTCAACGGCTGAACGAGTGCACGCGTCCGGCACCGCCAGAGCAGGCGGCTCGAGTGACAGTTGGGAATGCGCGTTAGAGTGGGTCGGCATGGCGGTTGATTAACAGATTTGGGTAGTTGCGATTGGTCGAGAACCAGATGGCCACTGGTACCTGCGAGAAGCGCAGCGTTGCATTGGTCACCCGGACTAAGGCCTCTACAAGTTCTTTCTTCTCAAACGGGAGGTCGGATGAAAAATTCGAACCAAGAAAGAAGTGCTGCTTTTTGATTTCCTCAGAAATTAACTGCTAACTTGGAGGGGATCAGTTCATGCTAAGGCCTATAGGCACAGATCGAAATTTGATGTATGAATAGTTGGGCCGAAGTCCATCAGCCACAGTGGGATAATCGCGTGCCCCTAGTACCTGCGTTGCTAGTATGGTATCTTCTTACGTCAAAAGATACTACTAGCTGCCTATCGGCAATTAATGAATATTACGCGGTTATCGCGATGTGGCTGATGGACTTCGGCCCAAATATTCATACACCAAATTTCGGTCTGCGCCTATTAGTATGAACTGATTTACTCCAAGTTAGCAGTTAATTTCTGAGGAAATTTAAGACCCGCAGTATCAAAAATGGAGTATCTACCAGAAGGTAAACCGGGAACGTTTGGAGACGACCCACTGATGAGCCGAGCCCCTCGAAGCTGTGCAATGCAATGGCAGGATATCGGAGAACCACGCGTGTCTGGGCTGTTAACTAGTACCTGTGTTGCTTATATGGTATCTTATAACGCTAAGAAGAAAGAATTGTTATACTGACTGAAGAGGAACATACCAACGGTACTGTTATCGGCAGCGTGAGCGGCTGGCAGGAAGGAACAAGGACAACAAGGGTCGGCTGAAGAAAGCCGATGGTTCATTTATCGAGTTTAATATAGAGGCCAACTCTGTATGCTGTGTCGGTATTTGCTGCTTTGAATGAGGATACAACATTGGCCGTAAAAGTGATAAGCTATCAGACTTAAAGAATAACGTCCGGTTTCATGCACTGATGGAGAGACTGCTCTCTTGGATTGGATCGGCAACATGACCTAGGCTGGGTAGGCTGAAATTGTTTAGTGACATCCAGCTTGACTCATGACAAGGTGTTCGCAGACGCGTTTTCCCATCCAGAGGCGCGTTAAGTGACAGCGGGAAAATGCTAGGATAATGTGAAGCCGTGACGACTGAACTTAGCCACGTCTGGAAGATGTGATTATACTGCGTCAGATTCACCACCGTTGCGAACAATACTCACCGCATATTGACTTATATTACGAATGCGATGCCATTAATTAGCGTGTCTAAGAAGGGCTGGAAAAAACAGTGACTGATCGCCCTGTGAGGGGTGACCACTGTTCTTTTTGACCTACTCCTCCCGGACAGATGATCGGACATGGGACCTACCGATTTCAGGCATACTGCTGCATATCAACCAAACCTTTTAAATACTGCATCCCGTGTGCGTCTCCTACCTCTGGCTGTTTCTGCAAGCATGAATCTAAGAAGTTAGGTGATTAAAGTTGCTGATCCGCAAACTGCGTCTGTCATTTCTCCTCTTAAAGGCGTATTCATTTTGGAGAGCATTGAAAGCCTGGTCGCATAGCACCGGTTAAGGCAGACTGATAAAATTAGTAACGATTCGACAGCCGTAAGCTGCGACATCTACCGATGCCCTTTGAGGTGGACCCAGCATCAGCACAATTGGACGTGAATCAGTTTGTAGTGGAGCGGGCCTGTGCCGCATTTATCTCACTCTCTCCTCTCACACGCAGCATGTTCCTGTGGCAAGAAAAAGCCAAGACGACTGGAAAGGAGTTTGGACGCAGTGGCTGGCAAAGTTGAGCAGACACGACCTAGTCCTCGCTCCATATGTGCCGGACCACAATCCGGGCGTTCTCAGAATTCACACAAGTACGAACGATTGAAGCCTTTGGAGCCTGACCTTCCGTCCTGAATGGGGTCCGGTTGCCTTGTTAGTCGGCAGCCTTCCAAGTCATGACCCCTGACGCATCGTGATGTATTTAAGCACTTCAGATTTGGTATTTTAGGGAAGGCGCTGATTTCCCGTAGAGACGGAGTCCCCAGTATCGGCTTCACTCTCGTTCCTTCCACATGCACCAGTGGCTTCTCCGAAGCAAGCTCACTGGATTGTGATTAGGCTTGGTGGCTGACAAGGCTGAGCGGCTCGTACGCGTCTGCCGAACACGACTTGTCCCCAGCTTCGTGTACTGACCTGAGTTACACAGAATGAAATGTGTCGACAAAGGTGAGGTGATCGGAGGTGGGTTTGGGTGCAGTGACTGGCAATACAAAGGAGCCCATCTACACGGGCCACACACTACCTGGCCTCGGAATCACCCGTACTAAGCTGCGCCAAATGTTGTACGTCCTACTTAGGTTTTGTGCGGTGCTTTGCCCCCTACAATGACGCCAAAAAGTGGATCCCATGCATGCTGCAAGGAATAATTGTGAGAAATTGTGTATAGGACATCTAAATAGCCCAACACTCCATTCATGCAGGCTAAATTATCATATTAAAGACTTGAGCTACAAATCCCTTCTGATCCATTTTACCTTCCTCCTGTGCAGTGCGATCAATAACTGCCGGCTGCCAAAGTGCCTTCGGAGCGATATCGATATCTTGGTGCCAAGCAAGTTTCACGCTAAGGAATGTGCTTTGAAGACCGGAAGCTTGAATAAAGTCCGCGGTATACTTGACCACGTTCGGTATTCTTTGTACACGTATAGATCACCACTATCACATCCGTGCGTTCACTTTTCGATGAAAAATCAACGAAACCCTGGAAGTCATGGAGTCCGAAGTTGTAATATAGTTCTAATGAATCTATAGAAGGTGTATAAGCTAACTAGCCAGAGTGCGGTTGGATGGCTTGTTCGCCAGCATCCAAGTCGTTAATTGCCTCAGTTCACTACCATTGTTGATTATTATCGTGGGAATTATTCGGTCGTTTGGCTCACTGATGCCCTCATTGGAAGCGCTGCCCACTCTCGCTCGACCTACACGGTCAACTACTCAGTACAGAACTGGAAAGAGGAAGTCATACACGGTGTCAGAGGACTATAAGTCAAGCTGCTCGCAGTCCACAGGGCTGTCGCTTTCCGCAGGACTCCTGGAATCGTCGGGCTTAAAGGCGTGGCGGGGTTCTGTCGAGTGATTTTCGTTCTGAAAGCTGGCGCTATTCCTCCCGCTGCTGCCGCATGCACGCTCATCCGCGTTCAGAGGAAGCTTCCACTCTTTCCGACATAATTGTTTCACCCGCAACTACACCTCCTCTGGTAGGCGACTGAAACGATCGCTGTGTCAGACCAGGCCTTTTATTTCAAGAAAAAGTGTTTATTCTAGGATCTTTCACCGTTCCGACTCCAGTACGGAACAGGCCCTTCTCGTTATGCCTCAGGGCTCGATCGAAAGCCTTCGTTGACAGCCTTTCCAGACGTCCATAAATGTGTTTTTTATTACTTTCCTCTACCTCCTGCGCGCACAGATGGACGACGGGGTTTTCTTCATCCTCCTTCTCGGAATTCTTGGAGGCTATTTCGTTCCGTTGCACAAATATCACCTTGCCCCTGTCAGCAATGAACAGAAGCTGGCCAACCTGCAATTGGCTCTCCAGCTGTTTCAGGACGCCGAAGGAATTGGCCCAGGACCGGGTGCCCGGGCGGACGACCTGCTGCGGCACGACTTCAAGGCCACCCTGCGTCTGTTATTTGCTCTTTACAACCGCTACAGGGACGTAAAGTAAAGTTGGTTCTGCAAATGCATCGGGCAAAATCGCATGACCCAGGCCCAAAACCATGACCCATTCAGTGCTTCCACTACACCGCGTAGTCTAGTCTTCCATCTTCCTGTGCCTCGCTTATCTGGAACTACTTTTTATTTCGAGTACTTTGTTTTATCCTTAATTGGCTTTCGTTTAATCTTCTCCTTTCAATGAATAATCTCCTTACAGTAAAGAAGTTGATTTTAGAACACTTGATAAAGTGAACATGCACCTTTGTGAACCGCAATTTTTGGGAATATAGTCGATATTGCAGAGGAACTAGCCTGTTAGAACGCAAGCTAAAAGCTGATTTTTGGGATTTGCGTGCGTGAAAAACCCCCCTCAGAACCCGGGTCCCTCCGTATGTGTACTTCTTTTTTGTAGTGGAAGGGCGTTCATCGATCATGCTATGGACGCGCTCTTCCCGTTATGCCGTGGGGTCGAGTCTAGAGTCCTCGCAGACATGGTCTAGCGGCAGGTAATTATGTGGAAAGAGGAGCAGCGACAAAGAGAGAGAGGGAGACTGGGATTAGCATTTCTGGCTTATTGGCCATCAGCACCCAGCCTTGTGCAAACCCAGGTCCAAAGGATCTGAATTTTGGACCCACGTTCTTTGGTCATCAAGCGTCAGTAAGATTAGCGTCCTACGTTGCGGGCAATGAGGTAGTCTTTGTACGACAGTTCGACCGTCGATTCCGACGATCTCCATCGTGTGCTACACAGCAAGGTGCAGCAGGCACGGTAACTTGCGCGTGAATCAGCTTGTAGTGATAGTAGACTTGCGCAGCATTTACCGCACTCCCTCCTCCCCGCTCCCGACCTGGACCCGGTATCAAGACAGAGTCAAGAAGACCGGAGGCGGGGGAGGGCGCAGGTGGCTGGCACGGCCGGACTCACACTTAGGCGTGCCATCACACTCCCTGGTCCACAACATACACTTGACCAACAACAACAACATCCCATGCCCACCACCTGCATACCCAGCGGGAGCGCAAGCGCATCTACTGGCCGGGAACCAGGTGTCAGGGAATTGCCAGCGCATACCGGACTACGAGGGCTATGGTTTGCTGATACTGGCGTAGCACACGCTTTCAGACCTTTTGACCGAGGTAGCCATTAAGACTGGGAAGATCGTTGGCGAGTGACAGCCATCGATAGTCGTAGTACGCCAGGCTTAATCGCCGCGCGGGTGGGTCAAGTGCTGTTGCCGATGACCTTGGAGAACAAATGGTATAAGACGAGGGAAATTCCGCTGCTGTGACTTGTTATTCGCAATCGTAACGGAAACTTACGGTAGCTAAGAGACATGCCACGCAAAGGTTTGTGAATTTCGACTTAAAGAAAACTGAATAATAGCAGTCAACGTCAGGGGGGGAGGGTGAGAGCAGAGTTGCAGCGTTAGTCGACCTTCGACCACTGTAGGCGCGGAGCCTAAGCCTGGTTCTTCTGTGCGCATAAGATTGACTTTCGTAACCTATTGGCGGTCGCTTCTGCTGTCGTTAACAGGCGCTGGCCTAATACCTTAGGGTAGCTCGATGGGACCTTATAAATCACACGAAAAGATTCGCTGGGGTCCACACAATGTCCGGAATCGACAACATACGCGAGAATGGCGCTGCTTATGTTCCTCGTTTCGCCTTTTCCCAGCCATGCCGGGAGGTGTTCCTCTACGAATCGCCCTTATCCAAGAGAATACGGCCGCCATTAGGATACGAAAGCCAGTCTTCTGCGCACAGAAGAACTACGTTCAGGCTCCGCGCCTACAGTGGTTGAAGGTCGACTAACGCTGCAACTCTCTGCGCCCTTCCGCTCTCACCCCCTCTGACACTGCTATTACCCCTCCTCTCCCCCACATTCCCACACCCGCCTGTGTTTTAAGCAGAACTTTTATCGATTTCTCTTAGCGCTGACATGTTTTACTTCTACCCGGTTCCCATATAACCGTAATGTCCCGACGAGAATTTATCGAAGCTACGTATGCTCGCCACCTCGTTTTCTGAAAACTGAATAAGGGTAAAATCGGAATAAGCAAGAGCAAATGAAGTTATTTTGAAAAATCGGTACTCTGGCGAAATAAATAACAAAATGGTTCACATAAATCCATCTACCAGTGGTTAACGCTATTCGACCTACACTGATAGCAGACCTACGAAAGATTCCAGAACCAGTGCGCAAATATCTTTGGCGTAAAATGTCGGTTTGCAAGGCGCTGCCAGCTTATCACACTTGACAACGTACATATAATGAACATTTTGGACTAGTAAAGACACCTTGGATTCTAAAGTCCTTCATGATGACTTTTCGTCTTTCAGAAAGGGTTACCAATCGCCGGTCACTTCTGGTCGACTTATTTGAGCCACTTTTGGGACTGGTTTGCTGTCTACTGTCCTGCATTCTTGTTTATCACAACCCAGCTTCTAACGTAGCTGAGGAAAATGAAATTCGGACACGCTGCGGACTTGGAGTTCTATTTGGCGGTGATTTTCATTTGTAATAAGCTGACGTGATCGTTGGAGGAAGGGCCTAGTTCGCCTGGCGCTTTAGATTCAACTTCCTATCCGGCACTACGAATTGCATCCAGTAAAGGTAATGTTCGCGCAAGTGTCACTGTAGTTACAGGATGCAGTTGCTGTGCCTCCCGCATTCAATCCTAATGATTGTATTTGGTGTGATAACTGCTGGATTGTTCACAGCGGGTCATGAATTGCCTCAATTTCACCAGTTCTATTGGTTAGTGGAGGTGATAGGTGTTGAGGCATTTGACCCATCGACAGTGGAATTGGAAATAGTGTTCACAAGCGTGCCCGCCGCGCGATTGATTACTCTACGCAGGCAAACTCTCATCTCAGAATAGTGAGTTCGTTGCGTGTGGGGAGGGGGAGTGGAGGAGGGCGAAGAGTCATGGCTCGAGCTACTCGTGGCCCTTGATTTTGCCACTTTCACGAAAATTTCGATCTTTCAGAACTTGAAGACGTGGCTGAGTCCGGTAAAATGCGACGTCACCTAGGCACTGGGGTCCTTCAGTTAAATTTATTTGATGGAAAGTAGGTGTGTACCTTTGAAATCCCTATTTGTTACAGGCAGAGGAAGTCTGTGGAGAAAGTGGAAACGAGGTGACATGAAAGAAATACAAGGGGAATATCAAAAACTGTACAGATGAACAGTATTTCATGCGTTAACAGTATTTGACGGCATATGAACTGGGTTTATCGATTAATACTGCAGATATTTGAAGCACACCTAAGCTACAGAAAGTGAAATAAGATTTGTGGCCTGCAGGCATCTTAGTGGATGTGAACAGTTTAAAAACACATAACATAGCATGTTACTTAAATATTGGTAGTAGTGTCATGATAGCGTGCGGGATAGTCCTCCAGTCTCCCTGACAATTTTATTGCCCACAAATGGATCAGATCTAGTAATCAACTCCGAATGTTTTCCGTCATGACTGTGGGTCTTTCGGCCTCTTGACCGACCTGCGTTTTATGGTTGTCTCCGGTCTGCGTGCAACCCCAAATCCAAGTGTTGTGAGTAGGTTTTCGAGACTCTCTTGATGCCCGGGACAGCCAGCCAACAATTTGGGTCAGCAAGACCTACCTCCCATTGTCGGTAGCCTAAATGGCCCAACAACTATCACCCCCCCCCCCATAACCAACGCGACTGATGATGCTGCGGCAGTTAACGACTCGCTGCGGGTAATTATCGCACAAGTTCAACCATCTGAACTGAATACGGGGGCCGTTAATTGCGGTGATAGGGCAGCGGCCAGATGACTGCATCTTGTAATTATTGCAAAACTTGCGCAAACAACGCACGCAGATTTTGGGCGCATAAGATATTCACGAAAGGATTGGTTGTCCTAGAATCACATCTGAAACTAATGCAGCAACTTTGAAACAATTTTTAGGAGATCAAACTCATGGTTGATCTAAATGTTCGCCCCTAACTCCCAGCGCACATTTCCTGCTTTCTACGGTCAGTATTATACTGCGATCAGGACTGTCGTATATCACCACGATTAGCTCGACATTGGGAGAGCTTCGCCAGTAAACTCGGTTATCCGACAATAACGTGCTGGTGAAGAATGTTTATTGTAAACTCCACGGTAGACCCAAGTCATCAAGTACAATTACCCACTCCTACTATTTCAACGAATAAAACCTATGCTCCACTTGCGCAGCACTTCCTGACCGGCAGTTCGAACCGATGTCAGGACATCAAAGTCCATCAATAGTCACTCGACCACCCATACACCTCAACTTCTGTGCTCCCTAGCCACTAACGTATGCGTTGACAGAAACCTCGAGTTTAACCATTACTCCCCAAGTCTGGGAGATTTATGACCCTACTTCTGACGATCAATGTCTGCTGCGTTTGCACACTGACGCCAGTGAATGTCCTTGATTCAGAATTTCAGTCACCTTGCACTCCGAGGCGGCATCTTCTTCAAATCACAGCCATAGATATTTGCCGATCTAAACAGCCATGGACTGGCAGATGTGTTCCGGACTGCCTGCCCCACGGAGTGGGGGCATCAAGTGTGAATAACGTCAGATCTGATCTATAGTGAGACCCAGCACTCTTATCTCACCTACCTGGTCCAGATGGCAAAGCAATGTCAAGTCAACCTAAAGTACGCTAGAACGCAGCGACGGACAAAGCCAAAGATTCGTGTACGCGTGCCATACACGACCTGTGGCTCCTGTGGCGTGTGCCGGTCTACTGTGAGGGTGACCCGGACCTCGTATAGGTGGGGATGCCATGAAACCATACGAAGAATGGGTCATTATAAGCCGACCCTCATTCCACAGTAGGACGAAATCACCCCGTCACATGGCAAGTTTCTACGTCAAGTCTCAGCACGCCGTGGTAGATTAAAGTGCATCAGGCTTACTTAACTGGGGAAGACACTGATTTGCCATGGGGTGATGTCCGCAGTATCAGCTTTACTCCTCAAGATGATAAGGGATGCGAATGGCAGG